AGGATGCCGTGAACCGAGATGGTGCCACTGCACTACAGCCTGGGCGACAGAAAGACTTTTTTTTTTTTTTTTTAAAAGATAAAAGATGGTTTGTGGTTTCCGCTCACTAAGTTCTCTGAACCCAGCGGGGTACCCAGGCTCAACCCCCCGGGGATGTGTAAGGGGCAGGCCTCCTGGGGACTGACGTGGCCACCCTTGTCCGCCTGCAGTGGTGACCATCATCAAGGGGAAGGTGGAGGAGGTGGAGCTCCCGGTGGAGAAGGTGGACATCATCATCAGCGAGTGGATGGGCTACTGCCTCTTCTATGAGTCCATGCTCAACACCGTGCTCTACGCACGAGACAAGTGGCTGGTGAGGCCCGCGGCGGGACGGGCGCAGCTCGCGTGGGCTGGGGTCCAGGCAGAAGACGAAAACCATGCTCGATTTTTCCCACAGTCGGGACTGTTGTGGGGGCTGGCTGCCAGGTGTTGGAGGCCACGGCCGGAGCCAGGTGTGACAGGCCCTGGATCTAGACGGTGGCAGGGAGATGGTGTGACCTTGCCTTTCCTCTCAGAGCAGCCAGGGAGGGGCTGAGGGTCCCCAGAGCCTCCGAGGGACAGGAGCTGCCTGAGATGTGCCTGAGAGTCGTCTGGCGGCTGGCCGTGTGGGAAATAGACCAGGGGGTGTGGGGGTGAGTGCAGCTGCATCACGAAGGTGGCTGAGACCAGGGCAGGAGGCCATGTCTCAAGGCAAAACTAGGGGCAGTGTTGCCAGGCCCCACCCTCACCCTGCCCCTCTACAGGCGCCCGACGGCCTCATCTTCCCAGACCGAGCTACGCTGTATGTGACGGCCATCGAGGACCGGCAATACAAAGACTACAAGATCCACTGTGAGTGCGCGCCCGGGAGCTGGCGGGTGGGGCCGCGGGTGGGCTGCTGCGGGCTCACCCCACTCCCTGCCTGCCTCCCCAGGGTGGGAGAATGTATATGGCTTCGACATGTCTTGCATCAAAGATGTGGCCATCAAGGAGCCCCTAGTGGACGTGGTGGACCCAAAACAGCTGGTCACCAACGCCTGCCTCATAAAGGTGAGGGGGTGGGCATGCCAGGTGCCGCCTACATTGAAACCAAAGAGAGGCCATCACCTGGCCCTGGCGCAGGGCTTTGGGGCCCAGAGTGTCGGCCTGAGGTCTCAGAGCCTGACCTGCCAGCCAGAGGGGTGCTAGAGGCCTGGAAAAGCCACTTTGTCCTTTAAATATCTTGGTGAGCGCTCCTGTGGGAGAGCCAGGCTTGGCACTTGGCATCCAGCGGCGAGGCAGGCTGGCCCTGCCTTCTCCGAAGCCGGCAGCTATAGCCCGATGAGACCTGTGCACGGGAGACCTGTGCACGGGAAGGCAGGACGCCAGGGCGGTGAGCAAGTGAACACGCACACGGGCCACTGCAGAGGAGCCGGTGGGGGGTGCGGGCAGGCTCTGAGATGCGCCTGTGGTCTCAGCTGCTCGGGAGGCTGGGCGGGAGGATCGCTTGGGCCTCAGTGAGCTGTGATCGCGTCACCACTCCAGCCTGGGCCACAGGGTTTTCTTCTTTACTTTTTTTACTTCTGAGACCTGGCGACAGCGAGTATTTGTCGAGCTGGGTGAAGCTGGGTGGCTGGCTGGGGGTTCCTGTCGGGGAGGAGGGAGCTGTTAAGCGGGGAAGGAGAGGCGACCGGAGGGGCAGGGACCCCACTGGGGCCACCCTCCGAGAGCCGGGGAGCTGGCGGCGCAGGGTTTGAGGTCGGCGTTTGGGCTGCCATTTGAAGTCACCACCTTGGTGGACTTGTCAAGGGGTTGGGGAGAGGGCAGAGTTGGGGACCTGCATTCCAGGAGGTCTGGCGGTGGGGTCAGGGCTGAGGGGGCTCTGGACAGAGGTAGGGTAGAGTACCAGGCTTGGGTGTGGGAGAGAAGGGAGCAAGGAATCCAGGCTTGAACCCAGCGGTTTGTTGGGAGCCAGACAGGCAGGAGGAGGAATGAATGAGGAGCCAAGGCTGGGCGCCTGTGCGGGAGGGCCAGCAGGAAGGGGACAGCGGGGTGACAGTCCCTCGGGGAGCCGAGGGAGGGAGGAGGGCGTGACGCGGGCTGGGGACACATCCCAGAGCTGGCTGCCTGCTGTCCTGCAGGAGGTGGACATCTACACTGTCAAGGTGGAAGACCTGACCTTCACTTCCCCGTTCTGCCTGCAAGTGAAGCGGAATGACTACGTGCACGCCCTGGTGGCCTACTTCAACATCGAGTTCACGCGCTGCCACAAGAGGACCGGCTTCTCCACCAGTGAGGCGGGGCGGGCAGGGCCGGGGCCGTCCCCGAGCCAGGGGCACCCACGTAGGGGAGCGGGGGACAGAAACGGGCAGAGCGCCATGCGGACACGCGTGTTCCAGCACAAACTCTGCCATGTAGCTGTCACGTGGCCTTGGGCCTCAGTTTCCCCGTCCACAGAAGGCTGACACAGTCCCCGTCTCCAAACCTCAGTGACGGGAAGTGACTCACGAACAGCACTCCCGTCAGCTGTCATGGGGGTGGGCGTTCCAGCAGAGGGAACGGGAGGCCAAGGCTGGGGTGGGGCCCGCAGGCTGAGGCTGGCTGACCTGGCGGCGCCCGCAGGCCCGGAGTCCCCGTACACGCACTGGAAACAGACGGTGTTCTACATGGAGGATTACCTGACCGTGAAGACGGGTGAGGAGATCTTCGGCACCATCGGCATGCGGCCCAACGCCAAGAACAACGTGAGGCTCCCGGGCGGGGATGGGGGCAGCGGGGGGCAGATGGGGGTGGGGGAGCGGGTGCCTCTGCCTGTTCCCAGGTCCCTGAGCCCCTCAGCCCAATGCCTGTCTACACAGCAGGATTTCTTGATCATTTCCTGGAAGCTGGGCCTGGGGACCCAGGCCAAACCCTTGCCCTCCTGGTGCTTCCACTCTAGACAAGGGGATCAGTGATAACGGAGCCGCCAGTTGAGGTGGCCTCTCAGGCTGGGAGCAGGGCAGACAGGTGTTGGCCTGGGTGGGCTTCAGGGCAAGAGGCAGACCCCAGCAGAGTGCACGGGGTTTCCTCGCCCAGCGTGAGGCCCGAGGAAGAAGGCAGCTTCTTGGTTTGTTTTCCGATCCCCTTTCTTTTCCCTCTTGAGCACCTGGCAGGAGCTGCCATCACCTAAGACCAGGGGGCTTTGTGGGGGAGCTGCGGGGGCTTCCAGGAGAGTGGGTCTAGGCAGAGGTCCAGTGTGGCATGTCTGAGCAGGCCGGAGGACGGAAGGCCTGGAACCTGGAGTCTCGGGGAGCGGTCTGGGCTAGAAGTGTGGGTCCCGGCCCCTGGGTGCGAGGCCAGGTGGCACTCAGGGCAGTCACAGAGTGTGGACCCCAGGACGCTCCTGAGCCCGTGACAGCAGCAATTCTCAACTGAGTGGGTTCACTGCCCCCACAGAGAACGTTTGTCACCATCTGTAGACACTTGTGGTTGTCACTTGGGAGAAGGGGTGCTCCTGGCATCTGGTGGGTAGGGACGGAGGGGGAGGTAAACCTCCTACATCCACACGACTGCCCCCTACAAAGACTCATGCGGCCCCCAAGGGACCGTGGTGCTAGCTGGGAAAGACACCGGAGAGGGAGGAGGCGGCCTCCGGACCGTCGGCAACAAGTCGTCTTCACGTGCTGGAGGGCGTGGGGGGTCTCCAGGAAGGCTGGGAGTAGAGTGGAGACAGCAGGCTGGACCATTTTGTTTCACCATAGCGTTTGCCTGAGGAGGAAGTGGGCTCGGGAAAGGTTTTCTTTTTTGTGAAAGAAGGAATCAGTCCATTGCTGATGGGAATCGTCTTGATGGGGAAACCCAAAGGCAAGGGACAGCAGCCGGGCTCTGTGTCGAGTGAGCCTGGTGGGCTTGAGGGTGTCCGTGTGGAGCTGTCGCTTGTCAGGGTCAGGTCAGCTGCTCGGGCGGGACCAGCAGTTGGGGTCTGCAGCATGGAGATGGGCAGGAAGCCGGAGTCCAGCTGGGTCTCGGGGAGGGCGCGTCGTCACGGGTCCCGTCTGCAGCCCCTGCCGCCACCTCCTGACGGGGTTCCGCCTTCACGCCCCCTCTCCCACAGCGGGACCTGGACTTCACCATCGACTTGGACTTCAAGGGCCAGCTGTGCGAGCTGTCCTGCTCCACCGACTACCGGATGCGCTGAGGCCTGGCTCTCCCCGCCCTGCACGGGCCCAGGGGCTGAGCGTTCCTAGGCGGTTTGGGGGCTCCCCTTTCCTCTCCCGAAGAAGAGGGTTTTAGGGGCCTGGGCCGGGGGGATGGGGAGGGTACATTGTGACTGTGTTTTTCATAACTTATGTTTTTATATGGTTGCATTTACTCCAATAAATCCTCAGCTGGGGTCTGGCTCTGCTTCCTGGGGGCAAAGTGGGTTGGGGTTCCGTTTGCAGGTGCTGAGGTGCCAGCCTGAGCAGTGGGGGACCGGCCTTGGCGCCTGCCGCTGGCTGCTGTTCTGTGGATCTGCGTCTTCCCCTCCCCCATATCTAGGCCTCTTGCTCCCCTTCCTTGGTCCCCTCTTGGGGTCCCTGCCCTCCACAGCTCTCTCTCAGGGTCTTCATCCAACTCTTTCATCCTCCTCCTGGGGCTGCACCCCCGCCCCCTGCGGAGTCCCGGAGCCTCCTGCCTGGCAGGGAATGGGGGTGGCTTTCCAGCACAGCTGCCCTTCAAGCTTCCCAGAACAGCCTGCCCACCTCCCGCAGCGTTCACATTGTTCCTGTTCGGGACCCTCCGAAGCCAGCTAGGGCTGACTGTGCTCTGCCCTCAGCAGCCAGGGACACTTCGTGGGTTGGAGGTGTCTGCTGGGGAGGACAATTCTTCCGAGCTGTGTGGCCCTGCTTCCTGCCCTAGAATGGCTTGGGGCTTAGGATGGGGGAGTTGGGAGTGGCAGCTGTAAGGTGGGCGGGCCTGCCCATCCTCCAGAGGCGAAGACAAGGCCTCTCTGCTGCAGCCATGGTGTCTGTGCCCACCCTTCACTCTTGGGGGCTGGCCACGGGGTCCTGCGTCCCCCACGACACTGCACACGACCTGGTTGACCCAGGACCCCCTCCACGTTGACAGCCCTGGCTACACCTGCTTCAGTGCAACTGCAGCCCTCGGCCTTGCCTCTCCAGAGGGCACTGGGGGTCTCCCCTGCTCCACACCATCCGGGGGCGGCATCTGCGCTTGCCCTGCATTGCCTGCCCCCTGAGGTTCCAGGGTCTACTGTCTACTAAACGGCTTCCCGATGGGGTAAGAGTGAGGTTGCATCTACACGTGGAGCTAGCGCTTCGCCGCCCTCACCCATTTTCGTGGAAGCCAGCTGCTTAGCTACCTGCGGGTGTCATCGGCCCCACCCTATTTCCCAGGCTTTAAAGGCAGCAAGTCTCCACAGGCCTCCCGGGGCATAGACAGCTCTGGTATGACCGGCACACCCAGTGAGGGCCCCGGAGCTACAGTGTGGGAGGCAGGGACCTGGGTTCAAATCCTGCCCCTCTGGCGTGGGACTGTCTCTTCTCAGATTTTTGGCCTCTATTCCCCGCCTGAGAAGTGGGGACCAGCCCAGTTTCCTTGCTCTAGAGCTGCACAGACGATCAGCCGGCACGGGAGCGGGGTGGGGTGGCTGCAACTCCAGAGTACAGATCCTGACCCGCCTTGCCCACGATGACTGCCCACATCCTCCTCCTGCTGTTGCTCCTCGCCTTCTTTGCCCAAGGGGACCCGGATTCTGCGGCCAGGTGAGAAAGGCCTGGTGGCAGTCGGACAGGGCAGGAGGGAGACGGTAAAGGGCTCGCACACCCTCCCGGCCATGGTTTTCCTCCTCTGTGGAATGGGCAGGTGATCTGTAAGCGTGCCCCGCTGGTCTCGGAGTGCTAGGTGCCCACCTCCACCACGCCCCATCTCTCGATTCGGTTTGAACCCCGTTTTTTCCCACACTCCCTCTCCAGGCGGGGCCAGCACCAGGACGCCCTCCAGCACCGTGAGCATGTCTGGTCCCTGGGTGTACGCCGGACTCACCGCCTGCTGGAGATCATACACTGGATTCACTCTGCCTCTGCCAAGGAGCCCTCAGGGAAGTCCAGCCGCGAGCCCCAGGACCCCTACAGCTATGGGCGCCGGCGGCAGGTGACGCAAGGCAGAAGCCTGGCCCAGGTCCCAGGACACCGGCCTACAGCCAGGGGGCCAGCAGAGTGCCCAGTTCGTTGGGTGACCTCAGGCACTGCTGGTCACCTCCCCGGCTTCGGTTTGCCTGTCTGTACATTGGCACTTCTACCCCACGTTTCTTCTCCCCTAACTCCAGCCCCTGAGATCGTCTTCCCCAGCCCCTCCCCAGGCTGTGACTGGGTTGGACCCAGGAGCACAAGGACCAGGCTGGACCAAGAACACTGTCGACCAGAGCTGAACAAACAAGCGTTCTGCGTTTCAGTCTCTGCTCCTCTGTACCTATTTCGTCCGCTCAGTCGGGGCTGGGTCTCTAATACACCCTTCTCTATTGTCTATGCTGCTTCTCCCTCACGGAAGTCCCACTGACTGTCTAACTTGAATCCAATCCGCTGTAGTGCCTCCTTTTTTTATTTTTCCTTTTTTTGAGGTGAAGTCTCTCTGTTGCCCAGGCTGGAGTGCAGTGGGAGGATCTTGGCTCACCACAACCTCCGCCTCCCCGGTTCCAGCGATTCTCCTGCCTCAGCCTCCTGAGTAGCTGGGACTACAACTGCGTGCCACTGTGCCGGGCTAATTCTTGTGTTTTTAGTAGAGACGGGGTTTCACTATGTTGGCCAGGCTGGTCTTGAACTCCTGACCTCGTGATCCACCTGCCTCGGCCTCCCAAAGAGATGGGATTACAGGCGTGAGTTGCTGCGCCCGGGAGTGCCTCCTTCTTGCCAACTCAATCCATGCACTTTCTGTGGGCGGTTTTGGGGGGCCGTCCCGACCTCCAAACATCCCTCCTCCCTCCCTGGCGTGAAAGAGCTGAGATTTGCTCTGGCACCCTACGCGCTAGACATTAAGGATGCTCCCGGGGTGGGCTGCGACCTCCCAGCTGAGCCTTGTTCCCCCAAGAGACAGGAGAATAAGAGACAATGCGCTGAGTGGGGAGCCCAGGAACCCGGTTTCCGAACAAGCTGCACAGAATGCGAGCCGCCAAATGGTGGAGAATCTGGCCGGGTAAAAGGAGACGGAGGGCTGGGGATCGAACGGACAGAGGGGATTGGACGCCGTGATCGAAGGGGGCGGGGATAGAACGCGGGGATTGGAAGGAGGCGGGGATAAAACCCGGGACCCGAATACCCGGCTAGGGACACGCGAGACAGGAATCGGGGTTTCTGGGTGACGATGATCTAGGGGTGTGCAGGAATCCAAAGGCCTCTCGACCCGGACTCCTTACACCGGGATTGGACATATGCAAGCGGGAGATTTGGGGCCGGCACTCAAAATCGGGGGGCGGGGGTGGACTCTGGTTTGGTCCCCAGGATCCGTACCGGCGGACTCCTGATTCAACGTGGTAAGTGCTGGACCCCAGGGGCCCGGGCTCCTGCCGCGGTTGGAGGCCTGCGTCTAGGGTTGCGCGTGCAAGCCTCTCCATCACCTGTCCTCGACGCTCGCCTCCGCTCACCGCCTCAGCATCCCAGGCTGCGAGGCATGCGCAGTGGGTGCTTCCTTCCCCAGCCCCTCCAGCCCGGGCGGGGGAGGGGACGCTGGGCCACCCCAGAGCGGATGGATTTATAGTCACCACCCCCCTCGCCTTGGCGTGACAAGCGGAAATGGGGTGGACACCGTCAATGTCTAACAGGAGTTTGTTTCTTATGGGTCTAAAACTAATGTTTTTTTTAAGACCCTGCACGGGTTTCCCTCCTCCAACCCCGCCCTCCGAATCTCGAGAGTCCTGTACGGGGAGGGGGAGGGCAATGCCCCCGCACCACGTTCCTGGCAGAGCAGGTAAAGGAGGAGTTAACGCGAGCTGTCCCTCTAGCCTCTCCACGCGTTCACAGAGGTCCCCAATTGACGTCCTTCCCGCAAAGCCTCTGGGTCTACAAACCAGAACCCTCAAAACCCCTCAGGTGCTTAGAGAAGGATGAGCTAGGTTACGTAGTCCTGGGTCGGCGCGCCAGGAGGCGGCTGGAGGCGAGGGATCCCGGGTCTGAGGGAGGAGGGGCTGGGGTTTGGACTCCCGGGTCTGAGGGAGGAGGGGCTGGGGCTTGGACTCCCGGGTCTCAGGGAGGAGGGGCTGGGGGCCTGAAGAATGGCTCTGCCGGACTCCCAGGGCTCCAGCGTAAAATGGCAGAAGCGCACCAGGCCGTGGGTTTCCGACCCTCGCTGACCTCGGATGGGGCCGAAGTGGAACTCAGTGCCCCTGTGCTGCAGGAGATATACCTCTCTGGCCTGCGCTCCTGGAAAAGGCATCTGTCACGTTTCTGGGTGAGGAATGCTGCTGGTTGGTTTCCTTCCGGGGATCCAGGTTTCTGCTTCCGGGATGTCTGAGGCTCACTTCCGGCATTTCAGTTGGTCTATTTCTGGGAGCCTATCACACCTTTAGCGGAATTTTTATGTCTGATCCCAGAACCCCTTTAGCTGTTTCTCCGTGGTTCACTTCCGGGCTCCACACCGACTGAGAACCTCTTCACTTTTTGCAGTCGGCTCACTGATGCCTCCTCCTCCAGGTTCAAACGATTCTCCTGCCTCAGCCTCCGAGTAGCAGCTGGGACTACCCACCATCATGCCCGGCTAATTTTTGTATTTTTGTAGAGACAGTGTTTCAGCCTGTTGGCCAGGCTGGTCTTGAACTCCTAACCTCAAGTGATCCGCTTGTCTCGGCCTCCCAAAGTGCTGGAATTACAGGCCACCGTGCCCAGCTTCTTTTTGTTTTTATTTATTTCTTTTTGTTTGTTTGTTTGTTTGTTTTTGAGACGGAGTTTCGCTCTTGTTACCCAGGCTGGAGTGCAATGGCGCGATCTCGGCTCACCGCAACCTCCACCTCCTGGGTTCAGGCAATTCTCCTGCCTCAGCCTCCTGAGTAGCTGGGATTACAGGCACACGCCACCATGCCCAGCTAATTTTTTGTATTTTTAGTAGAGACGGGGTTTCACCATGTTGACCAGGATGGTCTCGGTCTCTTGACCTCATGATCCACCCGCCTCGGCCTCCCAAAGTGCTGCGATTACAGGCTTGAGCCACCGCGCCCGGCCCTATTTATTTCTTTATTTGAGACAGGGTGTTGCTCTGTCTCCCAGGCCGCAGTGCTGTGGGGCAATCATGGTTCACTGCAGCCTTGGCCTCATGGGCTTAAGCAATCCATCCATCTTGGCTTCCCAAATAGCTGGGACTACAATCACGCACCGATATACCCAGCTAATTTTTTTTTGAAATGGGGGTCTCGATTTGTTGCCAGGCTGGAGTACAGTGGTGCAATCTCGGCTCACTGCAACTTCTGCCTCCCAGGTTCAAACAATTCTCCTGCCTCAGCCTCCCGAGTAGCTGTGACTATAGACGTGCTCCACCATGCCCAGCTAATTTTTTTGTATATTTTAGTAGAGACGGGGTTTCACCATGCAAGCCAGGATGGTCTGGATCTCCTGAACTCGTGATTCACCCACCTTGACCTTCCAAAGTGCTGGGATTACAGGCGTGAGCAACCGTGCCCGGCCAATTTTTTTTTTTTTTTTTTTTTTTTTTTGAGACGGAGTTTCACTCTTGTTACCCAGGCTGGAGTGCAATGGCGTGATCTCGGCTCACTGCAACCTCCGCCTTCTGGATTCAGGCAATTCTCCTGCCTCAGCCTCTTGAGTAGCTGGGATTACAGGCACATGCCACCATGCCCAGCTAATTTTTTTGTATTTTTAGTAGAGACGGGGTTTCATCATGTTGACCAGGATGGTCTCGATCTCTTGACCTCGTGATCCACCCGCCTCGGCCTCCCAAAGTGCTGGGATTACAGGCGTGAGCCACCGCGCCCGGCTTTTTTTTTTTTTTTTGAGACGGAGTTTCGCTCTTGTTACCCAGGCTGGAGTGCAATGGCGCGATCTCGGCTCACCGCAACCTCCGCCTCCTGGGTTCAAGCAATTCTCCTGCCTCAGCCTCCTGAGTAGCTGGGACTACAGGCACGTGCCACCATGCCCAGCTAACTTTTTGTATTTTTAGTAGAGACGGGGTTTCACCATGTTGACCAGGATGGTCTCGATCTCTCGACCTCGTGATCCACCCGCCTCGGCCTCCCAAAGTGCTGGTCTGGAACCTATGGGCTCAAGTAATCCTCCTGCCTTAGCCTCCTGATTTGGTGGGATTATAGGCATTAGCCACCATGCTTGGCTTTACCCCGTCTTAAACATGTTCTCTGTGTGCCTTGAACCCCAGCGGTTTTTTTTTTGTTTGTTTGTTTGTTTTTTTGAGACAGAGTCTCACTCTGTCACCCAGGCTGAAGTGCAGTGGTGCAATCTCAGCTCACTGCAACCTCCACCTCCCGTTTCAAGCGATTCTTCTGCCTCAGCCTCCTGAGTAGCTGGGATTATAGGTGCTCACCACCATGTCTGGCTAATTTTTGTATTTTTAATAGAAATAGGGTTTGAGCATGTTGGCCAGGCTGGTCTTGAACTCCTGACATTAGGTGATCTGCCGCCTCAGCCTCCTGAAGTGCTGGGATTACAGGCATGGGCTACCGTACCTGGCTGAACCAAAGTGTTTTCATCTTAGTACTTACTTCACATGGTTTGGGGAAGATTTAAAGAGTTAATCCTTGTAAATGGCACCTGGAACATAGTAAGTGCTCATTAAATGTTGGTCATCTCTCTCTCTCAGGCTTCCAAAGGAGTGTAGTTAGTAACCCTGTGCTCTTGTTCATTCCTCATTCATTCCACGACCTGGTACTTCTAGAAGCCCTTACTTAGCTCCAGCCCCTACTCTGAACAGAGGTCATTTTTTTTTTTTTTTTTTTTTTTCAGTTGAGACAGGATCTTACTTTGTTACCCAGGCTGGAGTGTAGTGTCGCCATTGCAGCTCACTTTATCCTTTAACTCCTGGGCTGAAGCGATCCTCCTGCTTCAGCCTTCTGAGTAGCCGGGACTACAGGTGTGTGCCACTGCTCCTGGCTAATTTTTTTTTTTTTTTTTTTTTTTGAGACGGAGTTTCGCTCTTGTTACCCAGGGTGGAGTGCAATGGCGCGATCTTGGCTCACCGCAACGTCCGCCCCTTGGGTTCAGGCAATTCTCCTGCCTCAGCCTCCTGAGTAGCTGGGATTACAGGCACGCACCACCATGCCCAGACAATTTTTTGTATTTTTTAGTAGAGACAGGGTTTCACCATGTTGACCAGGATGGTCTCGATCTCTTGACCTCGTGATCCACCCGCCTCGGCCTCCCAAAGTGCTGGGATTACAGGCTTGAGCCACCACGCCCGGCCTAATTTTTTTTTTTTTTTTTTTTTTTTAAGACAGAGTCTTGGTCTGTCACCCAGGCTGGAGAGCAGTAGCATGATCTCGAATCACTGCAACCTCTGCCTCCCAGGCTCAAGTCATTCTTGTGCCTCAGCCTCCTGAGTAGCTG